GTATGTGGTGAACTGGATAATTAGCTTTCTAGAAAATAGAATACAAAGAGTAATGGTTGATGGAATTGTTACAGAATATTTATATATTAATCGTGGTACCGTTTTAGGCCCAGTTCTTTTCTCAATAATGGTTGATGATATTAAAACTGCTGATCCTAGTAATGCGTTAGTCAAATTTGCTGACGATTTGACGTTAGGAGTGCCTGGTAACGAAAGTGGTGACACATCTCGATCTGAAGCTGCCTGTTTACAGGATTGGGCGGAAGAGAATAGAATGCCCTTAAACTTGGAAAAAACGTACGAAATGGTTGTTCGCAGACACACCTCTGTAGTTTTGCCTGAGCTTATCCCTTCAATTAAGCGAAAAACATGGCTAAAGCTTTTAGGAGTTACTCTACAAGATAATCCGTGCAACTGGGATTTGCACTTCGAAGAAATGCTCAAAAAAGCAAGTGGACGAATGTACATTATGAGAGTTTGCAAATACTATGGACTATCAATTAAACAATTAGATCTGCTGTTTGATAGCCTAATTATGTCGATATTCACTTTTGCTATTGAGCTGTGGGGTTGTGCATATGACGGTAAATATTTGAACCAAATAGATAAATTCATTAAACGTGCACATAAGAATGGTTATATATCAAAACGAACACACATTAAAGAAATACGTGATAAGAGAGATAAGAAACTGTGGAACAAAATAACATTAACTGAGGAAAATGCGTTGCTTGAACTGCTGCCGGAAAAAAAGAAGTAGGTTACTTAGGCCTAGAGGGCATGAGTATGAACTCCACCTAGTGAGAAAAGAAAGATTTAAAGCTCGTTTATAAATCGTTGTCTGTATAACTTTGTCTAGACTTTAATGTATTTAAAACTTTTTAAAACTTTTTACGCTTCTTAACTTACATTGTAAATATAACTATCTAGATCAATTACCTTTCGATTGTAAATTCAGACGGATGTATCTGAGTATTTTTAATAAAGACTATTATTATTATTATTATTATTATTATTATTATTATTATTATTATTATTATTATTATTATTATTATTATTATTATTATTATTATTATTATTATTATTATTATTATTATTATTATTAGTTATTTAGCGGAATATCTTAGTTTAGTTATTTAGCTACTTAGCGGTAAATATTTTAATTATGTAGCGGTATATGTTCCAGAGTTTGTTTTTAAAATTTAACTGTAGATATCAACAAACATTTAGACACTTTTTTAATTATACCCAAAGAACAGATTATTTAATATAGTCATTGATAACAAAAGAATTATTGTATATAATGAAATGATGAATAAAGTTGTATTATTATTATATTATTATTATAATTATTATCATTATTATTATTATTATTATTATTATTATTATTATTATTATCATTATCATTATCATTATCATTATTATTATTATTATTATTATTATTATTATTATTATTATTATTATTATTATTATTATTATTATTATTAGCTGAAAAGTACCGTCAATTTGGGTTTTCCTTCAAATTACTAAATCCCATCCATTGGTTCCAGTTTGCTGATGACGCGGCTGTAATTACTGGCCAAGAATCCGAAAACCAACATCTATTAAATCGATTTTCTATCTGGTGCCAATGGTCCGATATGATTATCCGAGTTGACAAATGCAGTACCTTTGGCATTAAAAAAGCGATCACAAAATCAGTTCAGTACTTGCCAAAACTAATCATCAGCAATCAACTAATACCAAAAATCACCATTGGAGAATCATTTCAATATTTAGGACGTTACTTTGATTTCCACATGTCGAATGATAATCACAAAACTGAACTAACCACCCTACTTAACGAACTAATGTCTGATATTGACTCAAAGCCACTACACCCCAAAAATAACCTGCTCCTCTACAGTCGCTACGTCTTGTCCAAGTTAGCCTGGCACTTCACCGTCGCAACACTCTCTAAAACATGGGTTACTGAAAATATCGACTCTATTGCCAACAAATATATCCGCAGATGGCTTGAAGTACCAATATCAGGAACACTAAGTTCTGTCTTTCTAACAAATAACAAATTTGGCCTGAGTATTTATCCTCCATCTGTAAAATTTATCCAGTGTCAAACAGTCCTCCGAAAAGCTTTAAAATCTTCTCCTAATGAATCAACTAACGACCTGTGGAGAGCAACCAGTAACCATACTAATATCCAATATGACGCTTATAACTCTACTAAGGAAGTTCTCAAAGATTTCCGTTCTGGACACGAAAACAAACTCCTAAACCGATTAACCAGTCAAGGATCCTTTTTCTGCAGCGTCACGAAGTTCGCTTTACCTCAGCTTAGCAAGGTGTGGTCCGTCGCCCAATCAAAGCTCCCGAAAAACATTTACAACTTTACCATTCGTTACATTAACAACTCTCTTCCGACGCGAAAAAACCTAAACAGATGGGCAATATCTTCAAATTCAGACTGTTCTTTTTGTCTTAGCCCTGAAACATTACTACACATAGTAGCTGGATGTCAGTTTTATCTCGACCGATTTACGTGGAGACACAATTCAGTCCTGAACTTTCTTGCTCATCAGTTACAAACTGTTGACGGTTCTACTCTCTACGCTGATCTAAATGGATTCAAAAGCCCTTCAATACTTACTGGTGATACGTATCGCCCAGATTTGTTATTATCGTGCTCAAATGGTTCCTTGTATGTGGTTGAACTCACCACTGGTTATGAGACAAACCTCAAAAACAACGTAAAACGGAAGAAGGATAAATATAGAGAATTATTGAGACAGCTAGGTAAAAATTTTAACCAAGTTAAATTTATAAATCTCTCCATCAGCTCTTTAGGTATTTTTGCAGAAGAATGTTATACATTTTTAGACATGTTAGATAGTATTGGTCTTGACAAAAACCACCAAATGTACTGCGTTAGGAAAATGATGACTATTGCTATTAGAACTACATATTACATTTCTTGTTGCCGAAATAAGGAATGGGAAAATCCGGATTTACTAACAATTTGACTTATCTCATTGTATATATATATATATATATTGCATGCACTTTGTTCTGTTATTTTAGTTTAGTATAATTGTGATTCAAATAGCCAACCCTAAGTTACCTTTATGAGAGAGATTTACGATTGTATATGTATGTAAAGAAAAACATTTAATAAAGTTTTCATTATTATTATTATTCCCTCCCCGTGAGGGAAGGTTGTCAAATATGGCGGGTGCGACAAATGAACGAAATAGAGGTTCAAAACGATTGAAATGGACAGAGCAAATGCATTTAGATTGCCTAGATTGTAAAAGGAAAGCTCAAGACTTAGTTGCTTCGGAAAATCCCCCTGTAAACGAAAATGGGAGACAAAAAGGCTATATCAAAGTTATGCATGACCTATGGCAGGCAAGAGGATATGAACAGCTGGGGTTAACAAGTCAGAATTCGAGAGATCGAGCAGCTAGACTAGAGAAAGTAATGGAAGATACGTCAAGGCAAAGTAACGGCAACGGCATAGATGTTATAGATATGGTGGAAAGCGGCGAAACTTAAAACTGAAAACAACGAAATTTCAAAAAGTACAGTAGCTGTAGACACGACAGCCGAGAATGCAAATTTGTCAACTTTCACAAATTTGCATGAAACGGTTGGTGATTTTAACGATAAACATAGTAATGTGTCACAATACACGAGTTTGCCTAATGAATCAGAAATTGCAATTGATGAGCGAAGAGACTATACTGAAGAACAATGCCTACCAGAATATAATATATTATGCAAACCTGTATTGATTGAATGGGGCAAGACTGACAATGGATCTCCGATATAAATTCAAACGTCTTTGATTATAAATGCATATGATGAAATTATATCATGGAAAAAGAATGTGTTCTTGCTCCCTTATGGGAAAATAGGACGAGAATTTATCGACCAATTGACAATGCATATTAATCAACGGAATAATAAATCAGACAACCAACATATTGCGCTGAAAGCCTTTTTTGTATTGCTTGCTGTTGGGCTGCAAAAGCCGGGACCAAAGTCTAAAACAAAAGACCACAAAGATAACTTAAAGAAACGCTTGGCGTCATGGAAAAGTGGAGAAATCGATAAACTGTTGCACGAAGGACGAGTGATTCAAAGTCGTATTGGAAAAGGAAGGAAATCTGAACCACAAAACAAAGCAAAAATATTTGCAAAACTTGTTATGGAAGGCCAGATAAACTCAGCAATGCGCTTTCTGAACGATGATAATTCGGGAGGGATTCTATCGCTAACAGATGATGTAATGCAACGGTTACTAGAGAAACACCCAGAAGCACAACCAGCAAAATCGAGAGTTGGCCTTCGCGGACCAGTTCAAGATATACCAGAGAGTATATACCTCACAATAAGTGGAGAAATGATAAGAGACGCAGCTCTGAGGACAAAAGGATCAGGGGGGCCAATCTGGTGTTGATGCAAATTGGTTTAAAAGAATCCTTGCGTGTAAGTCATTTAAACATTCGTCAGTAGCGCTTTGTGATGCGTTAGCAACATTGGCACGGAACCTTTTTACGGAATATGTTGACCCATCGTCAATAGAAGCTTTAGTTGCAAGTCGCCTTATCCCTTTAGATAAAGGTGGAGGTGGAGTTCGACCCATTGGAGTTGGAGAAGTGGTACGAAGAGTATTCAGCAAAAGCGTAATGAAGGTTGTCAAACCCGATGTGATGAGTGCAAGTGGTTCACTTCAGTTATGTGCTGGTCAACCTTCCGGAAGTGAAGCTGCAATTCACGCCATGCGCAACATTTTCGATGAAGATGACACTGAAGCAATCCTACTCATTGATGCGTCCAATGCATTTAATTCCCTAAATAGAGCAGCCGCTCTCAACAACATGCCCGATGGTTGCGACCTATGCGATAAACACGTATAGACTGCCAACGAGATTGTTTGTCCTTGGTGGTCAGGAAATAAAATCATCGGAAGGCACAACGCAAGACGATCCATTGTCTATGGCTCTATACGCGATCAGTCTGTAACCACTTATTACACGCTTACACATCACGTCTTCTACAAAACAACGCTGGTTTGCTGACGACGGTAGTGGACCGCAATACAGCTGAAGAAATGGTGGGATACATTGATAGGAGATGGTCCTGAATACGGTTACCACCGCAAAGATGACAAGTGTTGGTTGATTAAAAAACCGGAGAAAGAAGAGATTATAAGAGAAATATTTAAAGAAACAGAGATAAATATCACGACAGAAGGAAAACGGCATTTAGGAGCAGTTGTTGGTTCAATGCCATACCTATACGAATATGTCAACGAAAAGGTGGAAGAATGGGTGAAAGAGATAATCAATTTGGCTGATTTTGCAACAACACAGCCTCAAGCAAGCAATGCAGTTTACACTTTTGGGCTGAAACATCGATGGACGTACTTCCTTCGAACATTACCTGATATTCAAGATCTGTTGCAACCATTAGAACAAGCGATTACACAATTCCTCCTGCCAGCTTTGGTTGATCACAAATGTTCCCCACTAGAGCGTGAAATTGTAGCCTTACCTGTTAAAAAAGGTGGTATTGGGGTCACAAATCCATGCATTGAAGCAACATTGGAATATTCGGTATCAAGAAAGGTAACAACACTATAGGTGGAACAAATTCAAGAGCAAATACACGAACTTCCTGATGATTCAGGAGTACATGAGCTGAAGCAAATGGCACGAAAAGAGAAGAACGATACTTTAAATGTAATCGCTAAATCCGTCATTGACTCGGCACCACCGAAGATGAAACGAATGATAGAGCTTGCCCCAGAGAAAGGAGCCTCCTCCTGGTTGACAGTCGTCCCTGTATCCGAGATGGACCTTCATTTAAACAAGCGGGAGATTAGAGATGCATTGAATTTGAGATATGATTGGCCGTTCAAGGATAATCCAACAAGATGTGCATGTGGAGATCTTTTCAAAATCGACCGTGCTATGATATGTAAGAAAGGAGGTTTTATCATTCAACGCCATAACGAATTACGAGATCTGGAAGCTGAGCTTGTTGAATATTGTCTGTAACGATGTCCAAATTGAACCAGCTCTGCAAGAAGTAAATGGTGAAGTGCTAAATTCAGGGTCAAACAAATAACAAGATGCCAGATTGGATGTTCATGCACGTGGCTTTTGGGAAAGACAAAGATCTGCATTCTTCGATGTCCGGGTATGCCACCCAAATGCGGAATCTTATAAAGAGTTAACCCCAAAGCAGATTTATCGTATGCATGAAAATGAGAAGAAACGAATGTGTAACCAACGAATTACTAACATAGAGCAAGGAACATTCACGCCGTTAATTTTTACAACAACTGGTGGTATGGGTGAAGAATGCAAGAAATATCACAGTCGATTAGCAGAATTAATTGCCATAAAGAAGGGAGAAAAGTATTCAAAAACAATGGCTTGGATAAGAGCAAAGATATCATTTTCGATCATTAGATCTTCTCTCCCATGCCTTCGAGAATAACGAGAAAGAAACAATGTGATGTTAAAGATACAGACATAGATATTGAGACAGAAATTGCCAGAATATACTAGTAGTTAAACATTTTATTTAAAGGACTTTTTGGTTTTAAAAAAAAAAACTTAGAACAAAATGACAATTTTTTTAAAAATTTTCAGTATACACCAAAACATATATTTCTTTTATATAATGAATTTTAATCTTAACTTTGCACAATTTTATCGAGCTTCTAAACAATTAAATTATCATTATTATTATTATTATTATTATTATTATTATTATTATTATTATTATTATTATTATTGTTATTATTATTATTATTATTATTATTATTATTATTATTATTATTATTATTATTATTATTATTATATTTTATTAGGTCCAAAATGTATGTAGATCTGCCTGGATTTATTAGCCCATCTGTCATCACTGGTGACGAGTTAAGACCAGACCTTCTATTGACAATTGAAAATAAGATTTTGTACATTCTTGAATTAACTGTTGGATTCGAAACAAACCTGAAAACTAACTCAGATAGAAAACATGAAAAATATTTGAACTCTAATTACCGATGAAGAAAATATATATGATGAAGTTAAGTTTGTTAATGTATCTATAAGCTCTTTAGGTGTATTTGGTGAATCGACGAATACTTTATTTGATATGCTCCATGATCTGAAGTATGACGATCAATGTATTAAATATGTAAATTAAAAAAGAAAATAATTGCTACTTGTATTCGCACGTCTTATTATATATTCTATAGACGAAACAAGCCCAGAACTTTTAAACTTTTAACTAAATTTAAAAGATTTTCACCTGTATATATATTTTACCTTTATATTCAATTCAAGTGGACATCGATAAGCTACCTTTTATTAAGTGAGGTTTATCAATGTATATATAGTATATCGTAAATA